GATGAATATCTACTGAGTATATTTGCATGCATGAGTCACCTTCACTTTTGCCTGTGCTGCAATTTTCTCCAGCAGTAGCTACATTGTGTTGATCACTCTGCAGAGACGCTGCCCCCTCAACACCCTCTGTCAGCTTCCCTCAGTATAACCTACTTAAAAACACCTGCTCTGCCTACCTGCTCCAAATGTCCATGTAATGCATATTGCCAAGCACTAACATTAGCTGTTTTTGACAACATAGCTGAAAGTAGCTCAGTAGGCTGCAATAAACTAAAAAAAAAATCAATATTTTAATACAATAATTGTAATATTTGATATTTCTTTTAAAGGAACTGATCATCGTCAGGTGTTTTCCCCAGAAGAAAGGAAGCCTAATGGGTTTTGAACATCATGGGGGTGAGTAACTGATTTTCATTTCAACAGAATTTTCTATCCTTTATTAGGCTAATATTTTCAGTGAAAATGCAAATATTTTTTGTGAATAGTAAAAAAAAAAAAAAAAAAAAAACAGGAACAAAATGCTTTTTTCTTTGTTTTTATTGAAAAAAAAAAACAATCAGTGATGCAGCTCATTGTAATGGTTCAGCGAAGCATATGTATTTAAAGTAGGCCAGGGTTAGACCTTCAGAGATATACTAAAACAGAGGCATGCATGATGGAAAAATGCATGAAAAATGCAAAAACTGGTCCCCAAGCCATTCCAACCAGCCTCGCTGTACTGCTGTTATTGATTATGTCCATTTACATGTAATGCTTGTATGATCTTGATGTGTTGGCAAATGCATTAAGGAAAACATCAAGGCAGTACAATCAACAATATGGTATCATGGTTACATATCTGTGCTATAATTGACCTATAGTATAGTTATATAATTATAATGACAAAATTATTAAAAGATAATCAGGGATTTAGAGTCATGTTGCCTGGAGATGAAGGCAATTCAACCTATAAATGGCAACCATTAATGCACCAGCCATAAAATCACTGTGCCACAGTCTATATTTCAAAAGACGGCTTAATGTTAACTGCTGTGCAGCAAATCAAATTATGAGCTTGATGGTTATGTTTTATCCTTTTGGAGTGTCTTTGTGTCACTCACATTATGTGACACTCACATTATGATATCTACACAATTGCAAAAATGCACAGGGTCGTAAAACATACAAACAAAACAGTATAATTCACAATCTACATGTGCACGTGAACAAAGTAACTAAGCGTCATTTTGTATGAAATTATAATTGAATACATAGCAATAACAGTTAACAGTTCTGATTACACAATATGTAAATGTCAATAGAACCTTATTGAGTCCATATTTAATAAATCAACACTGATTTAAAGATGTTGAATTCAAATAATAGTAATAAACAGAATACATAAATAAGAATACATTCATACAAAAAAGTATAGAGGTAACAGCAAATTATAGTGGTACAACAGCATGGATTTACCATGTATTTTTGGTACATTTTTTGTTAGTGATATAACAAGAAGCAATGTAACATGTCATGATCCATAAAATACAATATCCCTAACCATGGTTTTGTTATAGTAAACATGTAGTAACCATGTTTTTTTTTGGGTGGATTGATTTCCATATGTATAACCACAGTTTTATCACTAATACCATTGAGAAACTATGGTTAGCAATGGTTTATGGTTTATTTGTTGTAACCATGGATAACCATCTTTAAAAAAAAAAAATTATTATTATTATTTGTAGTAAAGCCATGGTTAATTAGATAAGAGATGATGGGGAACTGTAACATAATACATTTGCAGTGAGAAAAAAAGCAGCGTAACCCAATCAGAAGGGCACTCAGTGAGTTAAAGAGTGCCTGAACATAAGCCAAAAAATGTGTTGGCTTTGCCCTGCTAAGGGTGAGGCATCCTAGGCTCAAAATCACTGTGGCTCCAGGCTTTGGGCCTGTGCTGCATAAATGTTTTTTTACAGCATGCGAACCGAGTAACTATAAATATTGAAGTAAAATAAGTACTACAGTAAACTGTTATGGTTTGAAGGCAAATACTGTACAGTTTTTTTTTATGCCAGAACAAAGAAGAACTGTTTATTAATGAATGTAATGTGATGTAATGTTCTAACCTACATCTCTATTAATTGCTTCAATTTAAATAGACAGACTTTTCAACATCATTCAAGATTACAACATATATATATATATTTAGATATATTTCTTTTTATTGAATTAAACTATTTAAAAAATACTTCTCACGTTTCCTGAACACAACACAAAATCATACTGTTATAACGTTGATGCTATTCTTTGCTGAAATTGTTATAGCAGATGATATGTAGCGGAACTGCCCCTTCACTACATAATCTACTACACAGTCCATAGTCTATATACTACTATGAGTCCACTGAAAGTGAGTTCACAATCAATGTTTGTTTTACAATCAAAATGGATTCCCAACACATTCGATATGGAAACAGATTATATATTTTTTAAACAGAACTAAATGTCTGGTTTTGGTTTTGTTCTTTTTCTTTTGGGAAAAAGGTAGAAGTGAATCAATAAAAGGTTATTATTTCCTCTGTATACCCAAATTCAATTCTTCTGATTTTTTTATCTTTCCATGAAATGTTTCACTTTCATTTAAATTTGACGCATTCAATCATCTTTCACCAGTGATGAACAGTTTCAATTTGAACCTTTTTTAAGCCTCTTTCAGATTATAAGATTAGCTGTGAAAATTGATTATCAGGTTAAAAATGAAGTGTTCATAAATTCAGTACAGAGAAAAAAAATAAACGTATATAGATACTAATGTGAAATAAATTCACACATTCCAAATAACACACCACAACATACTTATCAAACACAATAATATCAACAATCAAATTTGTTTTTTGGTTTTTATCAAAAAAATATAAGTATCCACCAGAATGTTTCAAATGCCACATAATCGTTGCACCTGAAATGACGATGTTTGTGTGTGAAAACAGTGTTTTGTAAATGGCATTTTCTATAAATAGGGTACAAAATGCCTGAAACTTGAAAAAATATTTTAGGGTTGCAAATTTGGCATAAATTAAGCTGTCGCTCCATAGGATATTTGACTGATATATATATGTATATTTATATTCATAATTTCTGTCATGCTGTAAAAGGGTCCAATTTAGCTTATTTTTTGGGCTTTACAAGGAATGTTACACATTTTGTTTTTGTAATGGAAAAAATATGTTTTTTAAATTGAATTTAAAATTCACTTATTTTTTACTATTAGCAGAATGTTAAAAACTTCAATGTCCATATTTTAAAATCATGTAACTCTTCTATGATTTTAATTTTTAGATATAGACAAGAAAGTTAAGTCCTCTGAGGTGGAACAGACTAAAATCGCCATTTAAAAAAAAAAAAAAAAAACCTACCGACTCTTCATGCTACATTAGTTTTATATTAGATAACAAGCATACAGTTTCTAATAGGTCATAACAAAAACACCAAGGGATTTGTGCCTCTAAAGGCCGTGACACACCAAGACGATGTTAAAGAACTAGCGGCGATGAAAGCCGACTGTGTTGTCACCTTAAAAAGCTGGGCCCGTATTCCTAAAGAATCTTAATGTAAAAAGTAGCTCCTAGTGACAAAATTCTAAGAAAATTCTTAGAAATGTGGGCGTTTACTCTTAAAATTAAAGAAAAAATCCTAGTAAAGAAAAAAGTAATTCAGAAAGCATCTTAACCCTTAAAAGAGGTCTTAAGGTCAAAATTGTTAGGAGTATGGATGAGGACTTTTAAGAGGCTTAAGAGTTTCTTTAGCAGAGGAGAAAATGACAGAACGATGAAGAGGGAGAAGAAATGTGATGCAGACAATAGATGACGACAGTGAGTTAATAAGACGCTATAGATGAGATTGTGCAGTGATCATGTTTGTGACTGATCTTATTAGAGACACGCTAATATCTCCGACACAGCGCAGGAATGCCATAACGCCAGAAATGATCACTACATTAAGATATTTGGCAAATGGGAAAATACAATAAAGCAATAGTGATTTGGGTCTGTGACAACCTTCTGTAAGCAGTGATCACACAAACATTACAGCACTTTCAGAACCTCTTATTGTGTCGCAGTTCATTTAGTTTCCACTGGACATTCCCACCTTGCAGGCTCAAAAAACTGTATTTATGAATATAGCAGGCTTCCCTGGTGCGCACAAGCAGGGGAATGAACCGTTAATAATGTGCGCTATAAGCTCCCACGTCCGCTTCTCGCTCCATGCTGTGACACCCTGCCCGAATTTTCCTTTAAGGACGGCCTAGTGTTCATCCACTAACTCGGCTAACAGTAAACACGGTTCTTCTGACCAGTCAGGCTTTCTCGTCTTTCTTGTTTTTTAATCCATGTTTTCAAAACAAACATTCAAACCACCACTTAAATAGACAGCAATCAGTGTAATTGGAAAGATTGGAACAATTTTTATCATTCTAAGCCAATCAAATTAACAGCAAGGTAAAAAAAAAAGGATTTATATACATAAATATAATGTGTGTGTGTGTGTGTGTGAGTAAACTCTATACTTAAAATGGCTCTTTTTTTTCCTTCTTGGACAACCAACCAATCACAGTCTTCAAAAGATTGTGTCATACATAGCAACGGGGTCAGCCCCGCCTCCTCACTAAGATGAGAGTTTTTGTCTTTTCCTTACTCAGAGTTGCTCTCAGATCGGCGCCGAATCGCTCTTAAGCTAAGACTCCTACGTAAAAGTTTTTAAGCTAAATTAAGAGTTTTCTAAAAGGATTCTTAGATTCTTTAGGAATACGGGCCCAGGACTTGAAGACAACGTAAAGGCTACAGGCGACTGTCAGCACATGCGTTCTGCACCTGCGTGTAAGAAAACAACTGTCTATATCAGCAGGTATCAATAGTCTATATTCGTCATTCAAAAGTGGAAACATTAGCCACATTCCCATTAAATATCAATCATGCTGATCACTTTTTTTAATTTCAGGCAGCTTAAGTTATGAAAACATAAGGTAAGATGACGTGCTCAATCGGCCAAAATACCCCCGACAAAGTCCAACTAGTGCAGACGGTACAGAACACACCACAAAAACTGGGCCAACTGACGTTCAACGATGGCCCGATGTTGGCCGATGGCCGACCATCTGCTTTTTGTGTCAGGGCCTTAATGCTTTTAAAAAGTCATGGGACACCAAAGTGTACTCTATTCATAGAATGTGCCAGATGCTTATGCAAAGTAATGATTTGTTTTGTGCAATTTGTGTGTATCATGTATAAGAAAATTGTCATGCAATGATTGTACATGTTTTGGAGGTGTGTTATATAAACAAGAAAATGATAGATTTTGATGGATAGTCATGGTCCTGACATAATGGTAGGTTCAAGGTATCACTGCTAAATATTCTGCTGTTGTGCATGCTGGATTGTAAAAACAGCACAGCATTTTGCAAACTGGCACAACGAGAAGGCACACACACAAACACACACATTATGTTTCTGCATCCACATAAAGAGGACGTTGAGGGCAGTGATTTCTCAAGAAACTGTCAAAAAGTATAAACACCATAAAGGTAACTTTGGCAGTAATAAAGCAGGACTTTGAATAATTTAAAACTCTCCCTTTTAGAAAATTCTTAGCAGAAATACTGGATGGCTAATATTTATAGTGCTAATAGTGGCAGTAGTTGAAAGAAAACATACATACTGACTTTGAAAAAAGGGTGGACCAAATAAACAGTTCTGTAGGACACAGTTGTTATCACATTAGCCTGCCATATTGAGTGGAAGAGGCAGTATAAAACCCTTTGTGATTTCTCACCAGTGATTGGACGTCATGGCACTGTGGCAGAGATCTTCCTAACATGACATGTTTGGTCGCTACACAAGAAAACTGAGGAATGTTGAATGAGACGTTACAGGACGAAGAGTACAACAAATTTTAAATATCTTCAGGCAGGAGGCATAAATTTCTGGAAGGTAAAAGAAAGACAATGAAATGTGAGAATTTATTATTAACAGTATATTTAATCATTTTGTAGGAAAAGAAAATCGTGATCCAAGATTATTATTATTTTTTCTGATAGTCTCAATGAATTGGGTTTAAAATACTAATTCAATGATTCATTTGCCAGAACCTCGGTTGGAAAAATTCCAAAATGTTCCAAAAAGTTCGAAAATGTAATTTCTGTGAATCCTTTGGCATTACTTTCAATTAAGCAGTTCAAACTACTGATTCAATGATTCACTTGCATTGTTGTATTTGTATATATATGTATATATATAGTGTATTTCAGCAAACCAAATAACTGCACAAGACCTGCTCTTGCAATACATATATACATATACATATTGAGTGGAATATATATATATCGCAAGAGCAGTTATTTGGTTAGCTGAAAAAACACTGACAACAACCACCACAAACAGACACAACAGAACCTAACCAGGGGTGCGTTTCCCGTACAACAACGTAACTCGCTGCTTAACTACCATAGTACGATGCATCGTTGAAGAAATCAACTAGCTAGTCATGACTGTTTCCCTTTCCCGAAACCATATTGTCGCAAAGTGGTGTTCAAACACATTGGTTTATGACGTCACGCATGTGGTGGAGTAATAACTTATTTTAATGAAACTGTTTGAGATCGAATTAATGCTAGATGTTTTGATATAAATTACAGACATGGCATCTGAGGAATAGTTCTAATTTTTCTCAGTTATTTCCCTTTATTTCTAGATTTAATCATAGGCTCGTTCTTACATAGCAGAGCATGTTCGCACATGCGCAGTCTTCAAAAACGGTGCTTTAAATCTCTTGACAAACTTAAAGACGTAAACGACATTTGTATGCATTCTAAATAAAAGACACAGGTTGTACTGAATGTTAGCTTGCTTATTTTGCTCAAGTTAAGGATTTATTAGGTCCAGAAACTCTGCTTCTAACCACAGCTCAAGAGCTGTCATTCCAACCACACAACTTTGCGATGGTGTTTGCGAATGTTCGTTGGAACGATGGTTTCGGGAAACACCGACTCGTTGAACTATGCTGATAACGACGGAACTTGTGACCATAGTTGGCTAACGATGCTTTCGGGAAACGCACCCCAGATAAAGAAAGACTACAAAGACTGATAGCAACCAGAGAATTCAGAATTCAACCTAAAAACAAGAAGGACAGACTGATGAAACAATGATGGAAAGAGAACTTGAAAGAGCCACTGTCAACCACAGTCACATGACCACCAAGACACACTAGCTAGCAATCAGTTTTACCAGAACGTGAAGGATGGAGCTCCACCCTACGTTAGGCCTCCATGGCTAAGATGGCGGGTTAGGGCTGTCTGTTTCAGGATTCAAAGTGAGCAGTTTGTTTACAGAGACGAAATACTCAAATACTGGGAAAGAAAAGAAGAAGAAAAAATTCTTACTTTGTTGCTTCTTCTGTTCCTCCTTCTCCATCTACTTTGCCCTCTTCTTCCATCTTCTGCTCGTCTGAGATCAGCTCCTGGTTCTTATGTCTACGAATACACTTCACCACTACCATGGACAGAATGAGCAAAGCAAGAATGCCCCCCACAGATGCCCCGATGGCGACAGCGATGGTCGAATCCCTTGGTGGTGGCACTGGGCAGAGGAAAATAGAGAAAAAGAAGAGATGCTAACAACAAACTTCACCAAAGCAGCATATTTCTTCAGTGGAAAAAGTATATTCTGATTTTTTTTGTAAAATAATGTAAAAAAAATGAAATAAAATCTTTCTGGGCCAAGATTGAGTAGTTACAGCATCTACCTCCAGTGGCTAACTGGCCTATGCTAAACAGCCAAAATCTTAGTACTGGTTGCATTCTCAATGTTGCCATTAAAGGGATGCTAAAGCAGACAGTAGCTATTAAAGTCTTCTATAATTTTCTAGTGTTTCTTTAAAGACTGACAGTTGTTAGAAGCTTAGTGATGGTGATGTTGAAATAATGCAACCGTGGTGTAGTTCGTTTATTTCCTATGTTTAGCTTTTTACTCCTGCTGGTTGCATTTAGGCTTTAAAAGGATAGAAGCTGTGTTAATTTGTGAAAAGAATAATACACTTTTTGTTGGTTGAGGAGATTATTTTCTACAATATTCCAAAAGCCAATAGAAACATCTGATTGGGTTTTTGTCAAGGGAACCAGGGTGATGCAAATTTCCGGGTTGACCTACAAAAATATACTATCTCTGCAGCACTCTATTCTAATCCTGGACTTAACAACACCTGCAATAATGAAATCCTATTTATCATGGCCTGTCTTGAAGCAACCCTGGTTGAAGACCCAAAACTTTTCGTACAGCCTCTTAGCCCATGCTGAAGTCTTACATTCAGTCAAGACGTTGAACTGGATGGTGCCGTGACCCTGAATGCGATCTGGAGGGTTGCGCACATAGCAATTGTAGATTCCATCGTCTGTCAACTGCACATCTAAGATAGTGATGCTGAGGTCATTCTTATCTAGGTTTCCCGAAAAAATAGCTCGCTCTCCAAATCGGCTTGGCTTCAGGGGTGTTATCCTGTTCTTATAGGTCATGAACTTTGAAAAGAAGAAATTGAAGGTAGATTGAGAAAAGTGACGAAACAAAAGATTCGTCTGACTTTTATATTTCTGTAAACATTGATATTTCAATAGCCCCTTTCACACAGAAATCCCGGTAAATTACCGTAAAATTGCCAGAATGACTTTACTGGTAAATACACAAATATGCTGTTCACACAAGCAACAGCTATCTGCTTTAGTTTCACCATCTGTTCAATTTTATCTTAAAAACACGAGACACGCATAATACTGATGAATGGAAAAGAAGGTGGGGTCTCGAGCACGACACGTTGAAAAAGCTGTGAGATGTGGCGCAACGGTCAAAGATGATCATCGAGCGCGTATTTAAAAAGAAAAACTGTAAACAGTGCTGAGTAATCGCATTATATCCATAAGAACTTTATGATTGGCACAAAGCAGACTTCTTACGTCAGCACGTTCTGACATTGTACGTGATCATACCGTCAATTTTCATTCCGCATTCACACAGAACACATTACTGGTAATTTACTGGTAGTGTTGTTACAACTTCCCTTACCAGTAAATTGCTGGAACCAATTTACAGGTATTTTTGAAAAGGTCCGGTTCACACATGATCTCTTACCGGTAATTTACCAGTAAAGACTGTATGTGTGAAAGGGGCTAATATTGATGATATTTAACATTTTAAGTCTCTTATTTTCTCTCACCATCTCCTCTGTGCTGTTGAGTGTCTCCTGATAGGTCCAGTTCATGGCAAATTGCTTGGGGTCCAGCTTGTAGCATGAGGTGAATGTACACGGGATTCTGACATCAGTTCCGTTGAGAGCGTTGATCTGTTGTTGCACCAGCACATCCATGGAAGTCGTTGGACAGGCTACAAGATATGTAAATATATAGACATGTATAATTCCTGCCGTTTGATTTTCCTGTCATCTGATTGGTCCACGTTTTTTTCATCTAAAGTCACTGAAATTAAGTCATTAATTTAAGTATGAGTAGAAATGTTATTCCCAACCGATATAAAAGCTGTTCTTTAAACTTCCAAAATAAGTTGCATAGTGGTCTTATATAACTTTCAAACAGTTAAAAAGTGTACCTTAACATAAAATGGCTATTTTTGACTCTAAATTCTGACTGGAAGAGGTAAATGGGTGGTTAAATTTTATAATACTAAAAAGAAATACTATGGAAGCAATGGGGTACATCAACTGTTTGGTTACCCACATTCTTCAACATATCTTCTTTTGTGTTCAGCAGAAGAAAGAAACTCATACAGGTTTGAAACAATTTGAGGGTGAGTAAAATATGACAGAATCAAAAATTTTAAGGGATCTATTCCTTTAATAATGAAATTAAAAGAACCAAGGCAATGACTGACGCATTTGTATTAGATTCCAAAAAGCTCCCTTATGAGTCCCAGAGAGGAAAATTAAACCACGGCCGGATCGGCACAGAATGGAACGGTTAGGCAATTAGAACGGTTTGGCCTGATAGTGGAAAAGTGGGACATGTGGTCACATGTAGAAAACATGGAAAATTCTTTATCTCTATCTACATTAAGCTTACACTGGGTGACATTATTTGTATTGAATCAACAGCTAAAATGTCATCATTTTGTCTATCAGGAAGGTTTACTTTCTCCACCTCTGCACCATTTGGACAATTCTGCCAAATGGACACCATTCTGCAACAAGTTCTGGACAAGTTCCCACTGCTGCAGCAGTTATGCTTTATCGGCCCGGCTCTCTGCAGTAGTAGCAGCAACTTCGTCACACCCTCCCATACCATCCCCACCCCCCTCAAAGTGCTGCAGTTTTAGTCCGTCCCCCTCCCTCTCGGAAAATCAGGTGTCCTCACGTATAGAGAGCAAGAACTACAGCAGCTGTGTTCGGGAGAACACAGACACACACAAACCTCATGTGTACGTGAATACCTCCAGTAATCACAGTGATTTATAGTGCGTTATATTCACAGTGCCCACATAGCAACATTTGAACTATACAGATATACAAGGATTCATTATACTTGTGTTTTTGTGCTGGTGCTGGATCCTAATAAACACACACAGAGACACACACGCATGTTCAGCAAATACACACACACACGCAGAGTCAGCACTCGGCCGGGTGTGTTACTCAACACCGGCACTACGTCAATGTCGTCCCCACCCTCCCTCCCTTTTACTTTCATGTATATTTAGTCGGTTTCTCTCTGCGCTACAGCAGAGGCGCTTCAGAACTCCTTCGCATTCCCCATGCACATTTAATCACTGAATTCATGCATTTTAATAAATAATAGTCTAACTGTTGTCGTTAAAAAGCTACAATGTATCGGTAAACTCTCTTACATGACTGTTTGGGTTTATATGAGCATGAAAATACAGGGTCTGACTACTGCTGATGTCTCCAGCCCACTCTTGGAGAACCGTTTTGATGCATGTATCAATATTCACCGGTTTAGAGTGCTGTAGGCATAAAATACTGCAGTGTAGCTCTCTCTCGCCCTCTCTCACAACAGTCCCTGACAAACCCCATCCCTACACCCTCCCTGCGCTGTCTCTGTCCTCTTTTATCTGCTCTCAAGGTTATGGTTAAAGGAGAAATGTGGACAAGGTACGTTGTGGAGCTGTATATGCATGCATAAACAAACAAATAATAATAATAATATAATAACATTTTAATATATATATGAGTCAAAATCTGCTAAGGGGAAATAATGGAACATCTGTTTGAAAAAGTGATTTTTCACTATTATTTACAACAGGATTTGCATTTTCAAGGGTTTAAATAAAAAAACTAATTGTTATAAGAGACAAAACAAACAACTTGGTGCATAAAAAACACTCATTTCTTGGTAAAAAAAATGATTTGATTTTTGAATAACTCGATTTTCCAAAGTCAATGGATTCGTGACAGCTAAATGTAACGTTTATGACAAGCCAAACATGTCAGTCTCTGAGTAACATCTAATTTATTTAAGCCATGAAATAAACTTTAGTCCATAAAATAAGTATAATGACCTACCCAAAAAGCATTTTGAACGTCTAAAGCACATTTTATAATTACCCAAAAATCAAACGTAGTTCACCCCTTATGCATGTTATTACATCTGTCAAAAACTCTGTCGATTGGAATATTAGAACTAAAAACCTCAACATAACACACTCATAAATCACTTCACTGAATACTTTCCGGCTAAGACACAAATAAACATTACCTTGTAATGTTTGTACAAATCCACATCATTTGAATATTACAACATCGATGTCTGTCAAAATACTGTATAACGTGCACAAGACACAGAAATATTTACGAGAAGGAGAGTTCCAGCGAGTACATGGAAAACCCACACTACCGGATGTTTTGACTACGCTATTGCTTTCCGAGAGCAGGGAGAAAATGGCGGGCTGAGTAGCATCAACATGCTGTCTGTCAGAGACAATAACGCGCATAATACATAACGCACGTGAGTATAAATTTGTTCTTCACCCTGCATGCTAAAGAGAATAAACAGCAGTCCAATAGAAAAACTTTGGCAGGTTATAGTTAACATCATTCAACGTGTTGATTTTGATGGACATTTTCTAATTCATGAACTATTTTGATTCTTACATTTATGATTTGAATATTTTCAATAATTTTTTATTCTCTATTCTCGACTGATCTTTTTTTTCATAAATTTGGCAATAGATGAACTGTTAAATGATTGATCTTGAGATGAGTCCCTGCAGTCGTTCAATTAGGCCCTCATATGCTGATGAGATATATATATATATTATAAACTTTACAGGTGACTTATAAAATGTAGTTTGAGCCCTATCTTCTGTTGTTTAAAAGATTAAGGCAGTTATCAAAGTTTGATAAGATGTTGTTTCATTTTCCAATAAAAGAGTATAAATTATTACATGATTCCTTACATTTAATTAGCAGATTTTGACTCATATAGTGTATTGTGTATATATCTGTAACATTAATATGTTAGTTTTAGGTGTGCTGATATACAGTCTAACAGCACTGGGACATTTCACTGCTCGTACCTCTCTTTTATTTCAGTATAAGGTTGTTAAAAGCAATGTTATGGCAACAAATCTGTTTAGACGGTTTAATGCACCACATTTTACTTTCTGCTTAATGACTGAAATGTTGTGGGCAAAACTTTGAACATGGTATGTTAGCACAGTAAATAAGAAGAGTGAGACATCTGTATTTCTGTGAGAAGCAGATCTTCACCAGCTTGTTAACAGCAATTGTTTTCTCTGCCATATGTCATATTCGGCTTACAGACAACTGTTACTGCAGTTGGATTGTATCCATTGATCCATTATTTTCAGGGAGAGTTCACCCAAAAATAAATATCCTGTCATCATTTACTCAACCTAGCCTAATGTCTTTAGAAAACTGTATAATTACCTTTTTTTTATCTAGACAAATAGAGGTATTTATAGCAGAATGTCAAAGCAGATTTTCCATACAATAAAAGTGAATGGTGACCATAACTCAGTAAATAACATCTTAAATTTGAGTCTGTTCCTTACAAAAAGAGCAAGTTGCTTTTTTGCTCTGTTTGGAGAGTGACAGCTCTTGATACCATTTACTTTCATTGCATGAAAGGAGTCCATACAATGTTCCACGGAAGAAAGAAAGAACAGTTTTGGAATGAAATCACTTCAAAACATCATTTTTATTTTTGAGTGAACTGTCCCTTTAAAATAAGACTAAAAATCTAAAATAACGTAATGAGTAAAACATATTCTTGTAAACTATTTTTCTTAGGTAGATTTTCTCCAATATTTTCTATAGTTTATCTTTCAAGTTTGTATGAATTTAAAAGTTTGGGATTGTGTGTGTGTTTTTTTGTGGGGTTTTTTGTCTTTAAAATAAGTATCTTATACTCACCAAGGATTTTTATTAGATCAAAATACAGTAAGAAGTACTATTATGAAGTATTACAATTTAAATCAACTCTTATTTTTTATTCCTGTGATGCAAAGCTGTATTTTCAGCATCATCACTCCAGTCTTCAGTGTCACATGATCCTTCAGAAATCATTCTAATATACTGATTTGCTGCTCAAAAAACATTTCTTATCATTAACACTGTTGAAAAGAGTTGTGCTGCTTAATATTTTTGTGGAAACCGATTGTTTTGTAACAATGTCTTTACTGTAATTCTTTTTTGTGCAATTTACAACAGCTTTTGAGCGGTAGTCTACGTTTATACTGAAGAGGAAGAGGTTTCTATAGTGAAATTGAGTTCAATAGCTTTTGTGGCTAGTGGAATAATTCAGTATTTTTCAGAAAGCAAACTGAAATGTATTATTAACTTCAATCTCCAATAGAATAGGATGCTGCACCAATATTCCTGCAATTCATAGTCAATGCATCTGTATACCTGAATGGGGTATTGGTGTGCAAATAATTTTGCCAATGGAATTCACTGTGCTCTAGACTAGATGATGAAAGCTGAGAATATCCATGCATTAATATTTGTTTTAAAAATACATCTAATGTCCTAAAATACGTATATCTGCATACTTAAGCCACATTTATGAATGATATTGCAATGAATCAATAAATAAATAACAAAATATGCTTATCTTTTAACCTCATTAAATCATCTAGGATGGGAAATATTACGATTTTTGGAGATAGTTTAGTGAAACTGGGTTTTATAATTCTATCTCATGTTCATCTTCTGTCAGTGAAATGCTGTGTTTTACGCCCTCTGGTGACTTTCTAAAAAAACTGCACTGTATTCACTTAAACTTGAACGCAACTTCCCCAGTCAATCGTTTTAAGAATACTCTTTTGGTGTGTGCAGCTCTTTTTCCTTTATGTTAAGCCTACAGGACAATGAGCCATAGTTAAGTAATAAAACTTTAATTAATTAAAAAATGTGGACTACACCACATGGATTAAGCAGAAGAAAGTAGGGCATACTGTATGCCTTCTGTTGAAATAAATAATCCTCATGTAACGTTCAACAGCAGCAGTTCCACGAGACCACATCTGTAGCAGTAAACCTATTCACAACCAGAACACACACATTGGTTGTTTATGATTTGCATTATTTTAGCTTGCTAGCTTGTGTGTTTGTTCAGACATTCAGAGTCTCTTTTAAACATTTTCTCTTTTTTTATTAATGCATTGGTTTGCTCTGAAGCACCTTGTATTACATGTTGTTTACAAAGTGAAATGTCTGTTCAATATTGCTTTTCTCCATTAAAGGGATAGCTCACCCAAAAATGAAAACGTTGTCATATAATTTACTCACCCTCATGTCGCTCCAAACTTGTATTCGCTTCTTTCTTCTGTTGAACACAAAAGAAGATATTTTAAGGAATGTTGGAAACCAGACAGTTGACATTGACTTCCATAGTAGGAAAAATATATGCAAGTCAATTAGTCAACCATGTCTGGTTTCCAACATTCTTAAAAATATCTTATTTTTTGTTCAAGAGAAGAAAGAAACTAATACAGGTTTGGAACAACTTGCGGGTGAGTATGTAATGACAACATTTTTAAGTGAACTATCCCAAGCCCCCTTTCCTCAACCTGCAGTATTGTCTCCATATTTTCCTATTTAACTGTCATTATTGTTGTTATTATTATTTAAAAGTGCTGTTCCTCGTCTTCAAATGTTATATACTGTGACCATTTGTATTCATCTGGTTGTGATGAAATCAAATGTGACACCCACTTTTTCTCCCGCTCTCAATTTTATCATACAATATCACCAGTTATTTATTTTTTTGCGCCGTCAACAAAAATGGTATAATAATTGAAGCAAAAGTAGAACTAGTTTTTTCATCGTTGCTGCTTTAGTCATTGTTTTTTTTTATGTAATCATTTGAGTTCAAGATTCTACGACTGACTCACATAAACACATTCACTTGTCGCCTCCTACTGGTTCAACGATGTAAACTGAAGAAAGATCTACTGGAAAATATAAACAAACGTGATAAAAACAGTGTGGATTGTAGATATCATTAATATGACACGGAATTGTATGCTTAACAGATCATTAAAAAACGCAGCAATGCTCAATGTCATCAAATCTGCGTCTGGAAGAAAAAACCCAGAAGTGCCGTTTCCTATTGTTTGACAATAAACTGAAAAAAAAAAAAAAATGTAGCCAATTATGACCTAGCGTTTCATAATCTGATCTAAATGCGCTCACAATGGCATCACAGTAAAACGCAGATAATGCTGATGGAGACAATTATTAATCTGCAATAATAATCACCATCAAACGCTATAATGTACTGTAATAACATATGCCCCACACCTAATTTTATTTGCATTCTTTCTTAAAACGCATAATATTAATAACAGGCTCTAGCCAAGGCAGGGAAACATGACTGAAATCACATCTGTTTGGCTGGAAGGCTATTGAAATCGTTAAAATGTCAAATGATCATTTTAATGATGGGCTTGTTTATTTATTTTTTCAATAGCAGAAGCTTTTTTTACTTACCCAAAAACATCACCATTGCAACACAGGATAATTTCATAGCGGACGCCCACTGCGTTCCCCCAGAATGCAATAAAATGGTCATTTTGGTCGCGGACAATGAACGAATCGGAAAATAAGTATTAAAAATGTGTGTGAGATCTATTTCTCCGTTTCAATCATATAAAAAACACGGATATGTTTTTTTATTTTGTGCTATGATATGGCTGGCAGTGTCTGAAGCAGGAGCACTGGTTGATATTATGGTTGTGGTTTGTCATTTGTCTTTATCGAGGTTTCAAATTAACCCTGTTGCAACATTATAATATTAAAATACTATAATAGCAACACATAAAACGGTATATAAATAATTTCACAAGACGTAAAAAAACCCAGGACGCATCTATATATTACATGTCCTTCCTCGATTCAGTGCAATCAGAAATCAGTCGAAGAAAATCTACGCGGCCGTTGACGCAAAACAAAAAAATGACGCACTAGTTTGCAGAAGGACCACCTCTCCTCACTAATGGAGATTAAAGTGTAGGGGAGAGTGGGGTAAGATGAGCCAGTGGGTAAATTGACCCACCCCCTTTATCTTGACAACCGTACACTTTTATTGTCATGTGACCACCCATCATTTCTGCCAGACTGTGAAAAAAGAGAAACACATGGGAGGAGTGGAAGGCAATCATTTGCTTTAATTAAAAACTGTTTTTGGCTTGTCAAAGTAACATTTTAGTATACCAGATGTAATAGCTGTTACATCAAATGAAATTTGCCCAGGTCTAAAAATATTTATGATATTGGTGATTTAGCAATGTATGAAACATGCAAATCATTTAAATATTAATCTGAATTAGTATAGTTTTGTCCAAAATGACAGCTGTGGGGCAAAGTGAGCCAAATGCATTGGGGTAAATTGAGCTAGCATTTTAACTTACCCCACCATAAGGCACTTAAGTTAAATCTCTGAAGTATAAACTGGTGTAATTTCAATGTAATATTATGCAACTGGTTTAGTTTATATATATATATATATATATATATTTTTTGAGTTTGAGTTTATTTGATAGGAAACAATGTACAATTACACCAAATCCTTCTCTGATAAGAACCAGAAGGTGCTTTTCACCAGATTATAATCATATATCTGTCCCTAATGGCCTAACATGTTTGGCATTGCAGAAAAAAATGCAATGAACCTTTTGACTAAATGTTTATAAGTTTCAGTTATTCATTCATTCTAATTCAGTTTTTATTTGATATTACTTAACAAACATTCTATTTAGTCTGTTATTGGGAAGGTTACAACTTTGGTGTTCAACATATTGTTTCAGAAATGCAAACAATTAAATATATTTAAATTACAAATTCGATTGGTTTTATGTTGTTTAAGTTGGCTTTAAGAAAACAAATCTGACTATGTGTAAAAGGAAATTTGATTATTAAATTAGTTTTTAAAAGAGGTAAATTGTCTTTAAAATGTCACATGGGTTTGATTCAGATTCAGTTAGATGGTCAGTTTACACCCAGATGGTGCAACTTACCCACTGACTGGGATCAACTTACCCCTAACCTGGGGTAAATTGAGCCACAGGAACCCTTTTATTAATAAGAAGCCATATTTTTTTAACCCTTTGTCATCAATTATATAGGAAACATCCTGAAATTACTTTAGATACTTTCATTGCACTACTGCTGCCTAATTTTCTCTTATCTTGAGGACCAAAAAAAAAAAAAAAAGGCTCATCTTACCCCACTCACCTACTGAAGATGACTTAAGGTGAGAATGGTGCTGAACAATTATGATGATGCTGCTGCCTATTAAGGATATAGACTTTATACATAAGCATCTACCATCTAAGGCGGCGTAAAACGAGAGTACACTGAGAGTGCCTTGATGCCAATGTGGTTTTAGCCACTAGTTTTATTATGTTATTAATACTTGGTATGTAGTTCCACAAATCTCAAAGGACAGAGTGAGCATGAATACGCGAGTCTGCAATAGAGACAGAAGTTAGAAGAAGTGGTCATTTCATGCTGATGAGAAGTCATTGAGAAGATAAAGAGGAAAAGTAATGATGAATTACTAATTTCATAAATAATGAAAATGGCATTGAACGAATCACATGCATATTCAGAGAGATACAGATTTATTATGAGGGATAATGTAAGCTACAGTCAGTCGGGCAGTGTTAAAAAATAAACCAATTATTGACATGTATTTTTTAATTAAACTTTTTTAATTCAAAATTAGCAAAATTGAAATGAGTCAATACATCATCATTCCTTCCTTCTTCCAAAACATGTTTTTGTTTACCCCGATTCACTATGGTAAGCCTTATGATGGTAAGTGTTTATATATTTTAGACCTGACGGGATGGTTCTAGCGGGAAATTGCACGTCACTCGCCCACGTGTCTCGTATCTGTAAATAGAGAAAAGTTGTTCCGGCTACTTTGACGTGTGTATGGTGTGAGTGGCAGAGGTTAGTTGTCACAACCAGTGAGAAAGGTCGACATGGAGCCGCTAAATCTCAAACCTCCGGGAAATCACCCAAACCCCAAACAGAGGAGAGTCAGACAGAGCTCGTTATAAAATGTGAATCAACATTGGCTTGGCTTTTCAGAGATGAAGAACTGAGGGATTTGAAATGTTGTAAAAAGCAAACCGTTTTTTTATTACTCAACAGGGCCGGGTTTCCCGATAACGATGTATCTTAGCACTTAAGAGCGCTCTCTACGTGCAAGGTTACGAACGCTCGCCGCAATTCCACGCGCGTTTCCCAAAAATGCACTTAACATGAACACGCGAGAACGCGTTCTACGTGCTACTTAAGCGTCGCTGTCCATTCGCAAAGTGCTGAAATATAACCTTATATGGAATCGTATTCTGAACGTTTAACCTAATAATCGTCATTTGTTGTGGATTAAATCAAGACAAGTCTATATACTCTATATACAAGCACCTATACAGGCTGACAAAATGGCTGAACAAAAACAAAAAAACAAGAGAGGATACCTTTCAAAAAGATAAAATGAATGTCCTTTTAGAGAAGATATATAGAGGGAAACAAAAATTTTATTTTTAACAGATTTAAAGGACACCATACAAATAAGGAAAAACTAAACATCTGGGAGGACATTGCAAACTAACTGCAACCGTGTTCAAAGATCAGGGAAGGAGGTCCGCAAGAAATGCCCAATACATGGCTGGTTTTCATGCACGTCAGCAAGTCGTTGACAGAATTTTTTGAATTCATCCCTATTTTGCCCATGTAACAGGTATTAATTATAACTTGTGTTTTATTTTAAATTCACACAAAATCCTTCTGGTTTCTGTTAGAAATTAATATCCATATGTGAGAAAAGGAAAATAATTAATTTTTATATATATCTTTGTGAGTTTTGCGTTCGTCGCAGTTGTGACGTCATTGGCGCGTTGTGCGCGCTCTCGCTTCGGTCCGCGGGAGATCTGAGCAGAGCGAGGAGCTGGCTTGATTACACAACCTGATTTTATACAACAATTTAACAGCATTTTCCCAACTTGGTATTTCACAGATAAAAGAATCACCGAACCAGCAATTTCGACTCCAGTCTTTATTCACCACCACCACACACAACACAACGCAGAGGGGTAGCCGAACCGGCTACACCCAGTCTTTAAAGCATATTTCCCAGATTTCTTATTTTATGATTTTTTTTGTTCATTCGTTTAATTTAGATGTGTATTTCTATTTTTTCTTCCCTTTTTAATTATTTCATTCATTTAAACAAAACACGAGTACAACAAAGTGTACAATAAAGTACAATCAAAACCGTATATTATACTCACGTAGTGTAGTCTGTTAAATCTAGATAAAAGTGTAATCTGCCGGTTGTCCTGCAGGTGACCTCATAACTCTGTCTTCTTACGATGCACTTGGGGATTTACGATTACTCCAGAGCACTCGTAGTTCTACGAAGATTTTCAAGTGCTACTTAAGTTACGATGCTTTTGGGAAACAGACCATAATATTAAGATCAGTCGTACGATCGTTTTTACGATCAACTAGGCTTACGATGCTTTTGGGAAACGCAGCCCCGGTTAGTAAGTTATTTTATTGAACAGATAAATTGTCACATGTAGCTCTCTAACAGAGTTCATTGTAAAACATTATCTACTGTGAAGGCTCATTTCATTATGGTTGTTGGTCTGTGCTGGAATTTATTTTCAAAGAAGTACCATGTGTATTAATGTGTTGGCCTATATAGAGTAACGTCTTCAGATGAGATCCTTTCCATCTAAACATCTCTTAAGCCTAGTAGTGAATGTTTTATGGACAGTATAAACATATTCATCCACACAGTCACGAAACACAACCAAAACAATGTTCTTCCAAAAATTCATGTATTTTTTTATTATTTTTAAACACAACATAGTGTACCTTTAACCAGAACAGAATGATGGGGACTAATGCCTCAGACACATTTTACTATGTGACAATACAAACTTATTTTACACTCATCCATTTACATAATTACCAATTCTGTTTGTGCCTCATCGTTTATGAGTTTTGCACAAAGCGGCATGATCTGATTGTATATCTTGGTGGCTGTGGGTACATACAGGTTCCTCATCCTTTGGCTGCCAGTCAGAGGGAAGACGTCTGCTGCGTTCAGCTGTGGCAGGAGCGTCTGGTGTGAATGGGAAACCATGCTGGTCCCAGCAATTGAGAATACACACAAACAAAAAACATTTTACATCCTCTGAACACATTCTCGCTCTACTAAATATTTGTTATATCCAGTTTACATAGGAAGGGATGTATGCATTTACATGTACACATTATTTTACTTACAGTAATGAAGGTGCAAGCCATTATGAAATGAATTAATATGTGTATAATTACTGTCCACATAACATTTGATGAAGTATCAAATAAAGCTGCAGTCCACAGTTTTTCCTCTTTGTCGCCATCTCTGTTCAAAATCTGCAATTGCAGTCATTTGCGGAATTAGTTGTAGTTCAACACCCTCGACATGACACAGCGCGGATGAACACAATAGCTGTGTCCCAATGTGAAGGCTGCGTCCTCCGAAGGCCGCATTTGAAGGCCGATTGCGTCACAGCGGCGTGACGAAGGCTGTCCCAATTCAAAGGCTGCATCTTCGAAGGACGCATTTGAAGGCCGATTGCGTCACCGCGGCGCGATGAAGGCTGTCCCAATTCAATTCCGCATCCTTCGAAGGCCGTATTCGAAGGCCGGTTGCGTCATCACGGCGTGACGAAGGCTGCCCCGATTCAAAAGCGACGCCAAATGCACCCTTCGTTTCCCCGTGAAAGGAAGGATACATAAATGGACACTTAGCGGCCTATCCTACCCTGATCCTACCCCATAATTCATTGCGCGCCGGTGACGACAGCATTTTTGGTGCAGCATTTGGTGTGTAGCCTACAGTTCAAATTCAAATGTTGGTGTTCAACTATGCCTTTTAAAACCGTTCATTTTTCGTTTTTCAATTACGGGTTAAAAAAATTAAAAACGAATGGATGCAAATTTACACAGACTATTAAACTAAAGATGGTTTAGTGATAGTTTTTTAGATTAAAGTCTTTGATTTTACTAGTATTTTAATTGACTATCAAACCTTATACAAATACATTATTTTAAATATTTAATATTTAAATATTAAATAATATTTATTTTCTGCCAGTGGCAGAATTTTTGCCAAGCGTGTCGGAGGTTGAGGGTTCTAGTCCGCACTCGGTATAGTTTTTTTCCCTCATCAAAACCGATAATGTTTATCAGTGGTTGTATATCAAGAATCTTGATATACTTTATCACTGATAAACATTATCGGTTTTGATGAGGGGGAAAAAAACTATACGAGTGCGGATTAGAACCCAGAGAAGCAGGGACACGTTTGTGTGCATTTTGAATTGTGATTTCTCTGGAACGAATAGAATCTCTGCAACGGATTGAAGCGCGCGTCCGAGTGAAGACAACACATTTCAGCGCTAGATCGCGTCTTATTTAACAAATGAATGAAACGAATGCTGCTAGTTAACTGGAGATGTTTTATTTGTATTGGTACATCCGTGACGCGAGATGTTTCAAAAGTGGTGGGGACAATATCGACCCTGGCAAAAAGTGGTGGGGACATGTCCCACCCGTCCCCCCCGTAAATGACGCCTATGGGACACAGCTTATGTTTGAGGAGAGTGTGCAGCTGTCAGTCACCGCACCGGAGTGGATACTGGCATTCAGAATCACAGATTATTCTTTTTGGGAGTATGACCAACATAAGAATTTTCACTGGAAAATGTAATGTGAACAAGTAAGTAACATCCACTTTTGTTCTGGTTCTGACATTGCAGTAAATCACGCTGATTAAATCTAAAAATCGCTTATCATAATCATGCAAAACCGTGCAAATTATACTTTGTTCTCAAATTTTTAATGTTAACAACGTCAGCATTGCGTGAGTAATGTCCTTCCGATATGTATCCTCCTTGTTTTCGCATATGTCCGGTTGTTGCAGTTTCATTTTTTTCTGTAAGTTAGCCACTCCGAAGTCCGAACGAAGTCTTTTGCATTTTACAGCGGGTGAATCTGTTGTCACTGGTGATCATCGTTTGAACCTTTCTGGATCCGCCATCAAATTGATAGGTTTAATTATATCAAGTGCTGTGAGAAAAGGCTATAAATCTCCACCTCCAACTCCTTCTTTATGTGTACGGATGTGACGTAATGACTCAACATAGCCTACTAGCCGAGACTCCTTGGGTGCTTCTCAATATCCCTCCTCGTCTCCTCGCTCCTCCGTCCTCCATCCTATGACCCGGAAACCAATCGAGCTTAGCCATCTTGAAGGACATCTCAATTCTCTAATTGCACCGCGAGGATCGAGGAGTGAGGAGGCTTCCAGAGGAGCTATGAGCGAGGATACACAGGTGTACTCTTTGCGGAAGAGTTTTATCGACTAAACATGACGCACGTATCAATTCTCCTCCCCCTTCACATCTGTCACAATCATTTGAATTTATACTTTACTTTTGTATTTTACATAAACCACACAACTCACATATTTCAACTAGGTATCTTGCTTTATTATTATTTATTATGAATTTCTTAAATAAACAAACCTTAACAACATAAGGGCAGATCCTTTGAGCACTGCTGATGACGCAGTGAAGTGACGCTCGAGTGATCAAGTATTCCAATGTATAAAAAAGCTTTCATTCAATTCCTCCGTCCTCATTTTTTTTCCTTGCAGCCTTCCCTCGCGTCCTACAGCGGGTGGAGCTGAGACGCGAGGAAAGGAAGCGAGGAAAGGAAACGAGGATGCACAAATAAGAAATGAGAAGCACCCCTTCTTTATGTGATGTGACGATATACAGATATTATACAGATGTGACGTAATGACGCAAAGACATGCTCGAATCTCCAGCGGAAATCCACCAGTTCCACTGGAATCAAAAACATTATTACAAGCTTACCGCTGTGAATCGAGCTAAGGCAAGCAGATCGTTTTGAATACTGGCTGGTTATGTATTTTCTCAAATATATATTTTGGATAATTTTTAACCCCAAAAAAGCTACGGACTGCAGCTTTAAATCTGCTATTATTATTTTGAATAATATGAAATTTGATATACACTTACACTTACTCTTATTATTAAAATATTTTATCTGACTGTGCATTAATATTTTAATAAATATTTTAAAGAGAGTTTTGATGTAATTTCATAATTCCATTGTCTTTGGTTAAAGTGTACTGGAGAATGTACTGACAAGCATTCATGGTAAACTTTTATGCTTAAAGTTGCAATTTAAAATGTAATGTAAAATAACACAAAATTCTAATCAAGTACTTAACATGTGCTTTAGTATATTAGCACAACAAAATAAGCGTACTTTAAAGCCCTGCAAAATAGCTATTAAAACATATTGATTTAATGAGCCTGTGTTGCAACGGATAGTTCACCCTCATGTTGTTCCAAACCCATAAGACTTTCATTCATCTTTGAAACACAAATGAAGATCTTTTTAATGAAACCTGAGAGCTTTTTGTCCCTCCATAGACAGCAATGCAACTGACACTTTGACGCTTCAAATAGTTCATCATCTAAAGCGATCGTGTGTCTTCAGAAAATTTGGTCTAAACCGCTCAATTCATATATGGATTAGTTTTACGACCTCTTTTTGAAGCATCACAGTGGTAGTTGCGTAGCTGTCAATGGAGGGATTGAAAGCTCTCAGATGTCATTACAAATATCTTAATTTGTGTTTTGAAAATGAACGAAAGTCTTACGGGTTTGGAACGGCATGAGGGTGAGTAAATGATAATTTAATATCTTGCTTTAATTTCTTGCTTACCATGGTAATATAGATGTTGTCTGGACTGGGAGGAGTGCTCACATCTGCCAGAACATTCATAGAGCTAAATCCCACCTGAGACACAAAACAAGCTTAAACAAAGACTTAGATATACAAAGACAGTGCACTCATATTAGTTATGAGTGGGAGAAAATGCTGCGCGCAGTATGGCGGAATAAGTCCTGATTTCAAAAAAAAAAGAAAGAAAAAAAGACAAGACCCAATCGCTGATTGATAAAGTCATTGCATCACTGCAGCTGTCGTTAGAAGTTCCGGATGCTATAAAAACTGGCATGCTGCATCCAAAATCACTTACTCTCTCGAGTAGGTACTTATTTTGAAAAAGTAATTATTTCATACTAAAAATAGCTAAAAACAGTATGTTCTATTGAATGAATGTGTCCAGTATGAATGTAATCCGGAAATACCATGTTGTCATTATCATGTGACCTATCAGCGTCAGTTACGTCGCTTCACTGACATTCATAAATTCTCTCCCGCGGCCTCATGGGATAATAAAGTGTCTACCGAAAGTAGTAGGTCATCTGGGTTTTTGGCTACTCTTTTATGAGAACTGTGAATTCAGAATACTTGTAACATACTGATTTTCACCAAACTATATAGAAGGGAAGTATGCGATTTCAAGTGCAGCCTCATTGTTCTGATGTTTCCCGATTCAAAGAAATATGAGCTGCACTTGTATGACTGAGAGGCATTTCAAAGATGGCTGCCAAGTGAAAATGGCTTGCCTTAATTTCACAATTTCTTTGTTAAATAATTTCATAAATAAAGTCATAATTTACTCACTGTGGTGATGTCTTTATACCTTTTACCCTTCTTTCTTTTATGGACAACAAAAGGAGAATTTTAAAAAGCTTGATGCGTACTTTTTGAAAAGCTTAATGCTGATCACTATTCACTGTCATTATATGGACAAGCGTGAGTGGGAATTTTTTGTGGTCCATAAAAGTAAGAAGGGAGAACAACACCAGGGTGCGTAAATTAGGACTTCATTTTCATTTTAGGATGAACTATCCCTTTTGGACATTGGCTTAAAATCATCTTCAAACATTCACATTCAGTAAAGATTCAAACCTCAAACTTGTTGATTTAAACAGAATAAACAAAGAGTGGAATATATGAAAATTTGATTTATTAATTTACTTTACCGAGTGCAGAAAGCAAAGAGAGGAAATGAGAGCAGAAATACAGAAGTTAGTGTCACCTTGTATGTGATTCCCATATCTTCAGTGGCAGTTCTGGTTTTAACCTCTTCCATATCTTGCCTATAGAATATAAAGCAGAACATGAAGACAAGCAGAGAAAAATGCCTTATAAGCTGTAATATCTCTCTGTGGACTGACAATGACTTACTTTGAATCGTCACCTTTCTGGATTGATCTGCAAGCCCTCCTTCCCAGAAACCCACTACCAATTAGTAACACAAACCCAGCCACTGACACCAGGGCCAGCCACCAGGGAGGATGAGCCTGCGGATGAATCGCACCTGGACTGTTTCTCCTGGTCAGTGCTGAAGAAAATAAAGGTGAGAAGAACTGAGGTTGGAGCTTTATACAAACTAATCCACTGAAAGAATGTTAGTATGTTATGAATTTGACAGGCGTTTTCACTCATTTCGGCATGCTCTGATACAGATTTAAAGGGGTAATATAATGGTACATGCACTTTTACAAGTTGATTGGACTGAAATGTGTGTTGGCAGTGCCTGTACACAACCATCATAAAATGATAAAAATCCATCCAGTGGTTTTTTTTAATCTCCTTATATGTTTTCCCCTGCCTCAAATCAAGCCGTTCGACCGTGTGACGTCACACGGTCGGATGCCCCTCCCACGATTGTTGATTGACAGCAGCGTTTCAACACAGACCCGCCCTCGCTCGTGAGCGAGCTGTCAATCATAGTCTGCGCGGACCGGCCATTGTTGATATGCTGGAGCAGAATGGCGTCTAAGCGATTGTGGTGTTCTGTTCTTGGGTGTAATAACGAACACAGTCATTTTGATGTTCCTAAATCCGAACCGCTGAAGACGCAGTGGCTGAGTTTGTTTTCGAAGGGAATATTCCCCACGAGCAACGTCAATGGTCTCATGTTTGCGGGAATCATTTCTCACCAGACTGCTTTATAAACGAGGATCAGTATAAAGCTGGTTTTGCTAAGAAGCTGCTCATGAAAAAAGGATCGGTACCAGATATTCGTGTTCCTGCTGCACCTACAGAACAACTGAAGTGAGTGAACGTTTTATTAAACTTTATATTAATATTTATATTAATCTTTGCAAATCGCTAGCTGCACGCTTCACAATGAATGCGTCTAAGGTTTACACTCAGGGTACATTACGGCATGTTTTCTATGTATGACGTTCTCAATATAATTCATAATCCCACGTTTATACTGAACAACGCGTTATGGTTATTGTGTTACAAACGGTGTATGCACAGAACAGAGAGGCGGGGTGAGCAAAGCTCATTATCATTTAAAGTCATATGCACTGAAACGGCGTGCTGAAAACAGAGCTGTTTTTGACCAAGTAAAATAAGTGTTTTCTTACAATACTAATGAGAATTTTTAATGAAAGTATATTACAAACTTTTAATTTAGACCCTAAAGAATCATATGGCTTGTACAAAAATGGCATTATATGACCCCTTTAAAACTTATAAAAAGTAACATTTTCATTTTGCTGCATTTGGTATGGCATCTTTTGGACACAATTATGGGGTTTAATTTAAATAAAATGTAATTGATCAATTTTAATTATTTGATCAAAAGTGTAATACAAACTGTAATATTGTGAACTATTATTACAATTTAAAATATATATTTTCTATTTAAATATATTTTAAATGTGATTTATTCCTGTGATGGCAAAGCTATATTTTCAACAGCCATATTCATTTTGGTAAAACTTTACAATAAGGTCTCATTTGTTAACATTAATGTATTAACTAACGTGAACTAACAATGATCAATATATTTGTTACAGGATTTATTCATTTTTGTTAAAGGGTTAGTTCACCCAAAAATGAAAATTCTGTCAGTGATTACTCACCCTCATGTTGTTCCAATCCCGTAAGAGTTCGTTCATCTTTGGAACACAAATTAAGATATTTTTGATTAAATCTGAGAGCTGGATCACTCCTCCTATAGGCTTCTTAAGGGATCGAAACTGGCCGGCCCAAAAGTTATGAAAGACACCGTTAAAATAGTCCAAGTGACTACAGTGGCTCAATCTTAAGTTTATCAAGCAACGAGAATACTTCTTGTGCGCAAAAAAACAAACAAAAATAATGACTTTATTCAACTGATCATTTCCTTCTCTGTACGGCCGTGATTTTTTACGTGGTGGAACTACGCAAAGCTTCTAGGTTGTACGTCACACGCATCACACACATGACCAGCGTCGGCCAATAGTGAGCCTGCGTGTGACGTGCAACCTAGAAGCTTTACGCAATATCACTACGTGAAATATCAGGCCCACAGAGAAGGAAATGATTAGTTGAATAAAGCCGTTATTTTTGTTTGTTTTTTTTCGCACAAAAAGTATTCTCGTCGCAGTGTCGCTTGATAAACTTAAGATTGAGCCACTGTAGTCACTCGGACTATTTTAACGATGTCTTTCATAACTTTTGGGCCGGCCAGTTTCGATCCCTTAAGAAGCCTATGGAGGAGTGATCCAGCTCTCAGATTTAATTAAAAATATCTTAATTTGTGTTCCGAAGATGAACGAAAGTCTTACGGGGTTGGAACAACATGAGGGTGAGTAATTATTGACAGAATTTTCATTTTTGGGTGAACTAACCCTTTAATGTTAGTTATACAAATCAAGCTGTTCATTGTTTGTTCATGTTAGTTCACAGTGCATTAACTAATGTTAACAAATACAACATCTGATTTCCATAATGTATTGGTACATGTTGAAATTATCATTAATAAGATCAATAAATGCTGTAGAAGTATCGTTCATTCTTATTTCATGTTAGTGAAACCTATTAATGTTAAAATCAGTGCTGTTCAATGTTTTTGTGGAAATTGTGTTACATTTAATTCAGGATTCTTTGATGAATGGAAAGTTCAAAAGAACAGCATTTATTTGAAATAGAATCCTTTTTATTATTATACATTTCTGAACTGACACTTTTGATTAATTTAATATGTCCTTGATGAATAAAAGTGTTTTTTATTTAAATTTTATTCAAACTTTTTAACAGTATGTGTTCATCATATTCAGGAAATACTCAGGGAATAAGAAACTCTATACTCGCATTGTTACATGAACATAACTGATCCACAATGAGTAAACCAAACAGAGCCAAATAAACAAAAAATACATTTAGAAAACAAACAAAGGTCTGTTACCTGATCGGACAATAAGATGTGTATGATTCTTGAAGAACCTGCCCCTGAGCCGCAGTCTACACAGGTAAGTTCCATTGTTCTCATGGGTCACGGATGGGAGGTGTATATCAAAACTCCCCATTTTGACATCTCCACGAAAATATACACCAGGCAGTGTTGATACGGTTTGATTGCTGATGTAGTACAGGATTATTTTTGTCTGAGAGATAGTCTGTGTTTAAAAAAAATAGAATAAGTACTAAAGCATGAGTTTACATTTACATTTATTCATTTAGCAGACGCTTTTATCCAAAGCGACTTACAAATGAGAACAATAGAAGCAGTTAAACTAGCAATAGCTTATAATAACTAGTTTAGGTTTTTAAAGTTACAACTAAAAAGTATTCATTGCATAAGTGTGTAAAGTATATTTGTGATGGTTTGTATACCTAAAAATAAGCCTACCTGGAATTCCCACTCCGCACTGAGAGAAATGAAATCCCGATGTCCAGGACATTGGAAGAAATTACACGACAAATACACATCTGTACCATCATTAACCTTCTGGTCTGAACTTGTCATCACACAACCATAGGCTCCATATACTAAAAGAATGAATATTATATTTAAAAAGTAAACTTCATATGTTTAAATAAATAATGAATTTCTGCTTACCTGTGAAGATATGTAGGGCCAAATACCACATCACTGAGCATACAAAGACACTCCAAAGTTTGTTTTTTTCTTGCAGTATTTAACCGCACACATAAATATACACATATATAATATATATTGTAAAAGAAAGGCAGAAATTACAAGATACAGAAGAATCTTATGGACTCAAAAGTTCTTTGCTTACATTAGCGCTGTGAAAAACTTTCTTGGCGGTTATCAGTGTCTGAAATGTTCATTTACCACATCCTCTGGCCTAAACACATGATCTATCTGAGGCAGATGTGTCTCACTTGTACCACTTTCACATGTATCAGGAACAAAAAATAACATAGTTCTTGTGCCGAAAGATTAGAGCTTATCATCACTGCAAGACAATGCTGGGTTTCCTTTGATCAGTTTATACATACAGTAGTTCCTGTCCATCTAATCCTTAAAATAGTGACAAGTAGGCCTACATTATTCATAATGTCTAATTTTGTGTTCCACAGAAGAAAGAAAGTCATACAGGTTTGGAAAGTCATGATGGATTTTTTTTTGAGCGAACAATCCCTTCAAGAAATAGAGGTCGGTCAAATGAAGGTCGCCTTTTTTCACATAAAAAAATAACTATTTTGCCCTCTAGTGTGCCATTTGACGTTAGCTATATTCGATTGAAGACATTTCCACAAGAGAAAAGACATCATTGTGTCAAATGAAGTTATTGTGTATAGCTACATCACCTGAGGCAATAGCCAAAGACATTTGTCACATTTATCGATTTATTCTTTCTGATTCCGCAGCTTTAGCTTTCACAAAAACACTTTGCCATTTTTAACCCTCTGGGGTCCTTCGGCCCAAATGGACCCGAAGCATTTAAATATTTTTTTTTTTAAATCATTGCTTTATCGGAATGGTCCGAAATTTGGTGACTTTGTTGGTACTTGGCATATGAACACCCCAAAAAATTGGGGACAGGATTTGAATAGTCTAAGTGGTTGTAAAAAAAAATAGTCACACTCAGGACCTTCGGGTCCAAATGGACCCGCATAGGAAATGAATGGGAAATTGGCAAAAATGTGAAAATACAGAGTTATTTTGTGCGTACAAACTACAAATCAGCCACGATCCAGAAAAAAAGCACACAACAGTGAAGGGGTGAATCTATAAAACATCAAGAGTGCAAAACAGACACATCCACACACACACACACACACACACACAAACACACTTTTATACACATACACACTAATAAATTCAGATTACATATGGGTTTTGAATTTTTAAAATGCTCAGTTTGTCCACCAGATGGCATCCATCTCATTTCAAAAATTGCTTTCATGAGGCCTAGGCTTGACTCTAAAATGAAATACAGCTTTAAAAAAACAAAACAAATTTTTTTTTCTTTTTTTTCTTTTCTATTATATTCAATGGGGAAAAAATGGGTCATAATTATTGCATTAATATCAATTATAAATCATTTTTATTTTTGAAATTATCTCAAAACACCAAAAAAGAAAAGAAAAAAATATTATAAAAAAAAAAAAAAAAAAAAAAAAGATGATTTTTTTTAATAAATATTAATCCCACCCTTCCGGCCCATTTGGACCCGAAGGTCCTGAGTGTGACTCTGAAATGAAGGACCCCAGAGGGTTAAGAGATGCCAACGGAACATTATTTTTGAGAAGATAGAATCATTACATGGGTCAGAAATTGCCTCAGCTTTGTTAAATATATTATTCATGAATAAAAAATTAGCATTCTTCTGCAATACAGACATTTTTTGTTGTTAGGTTTAAATAGTGCTTATCTAGGTCTACACCAGCAATCTGAATCTCTTGTGATTGAAGCATTAAATTATTCATCAGAACAATGAGTCACAATAAGAGAATATATATAATCAATTATTTGTTCCTGAACACACACGCAATTGCCAGATGTTTAAACTGAACAAGCTGACAAGCTGTATTCTCTAATCAGACCATTTATATGATTCAAGATACAACAGTTGCAGCATTCATTGGATATATAAGCAGTTTGCAAATGTAAGGCAGCTGCAGCATATAGCGGCTTTCATAAACGCAGAAAGCAAAGACTGTAAACCAGAATAAGTTGGCAAAACTCAAAACATTTGAGGTAATCAGTTACATCAATTTTTTTAATTATTATGTTTCCAATTTTTAAGTAAACTGAACTATCAGATTTTGAGTTAGTGGTACTCATGCATGTTAATTGCTCTTAACTTGAAGTACTCAGTAACCTAACTTTTACATTTCGATAGCAATTAACAAAACTTTTAGTTGATGAACTTTTTATTTTAGTTCTTGCTAATCAAATTTGTCATTTTATTTAACTAAGTTACATCTGAATGTATAAATTCCTTAAATATAGTCAAATGTATCAGTACTTTAAAAGGAACACATAACACATGTAATACCATTTTGAAAGATTTATTTATTTTTATATTAAAACCGACCTGAGACAGTTGCAGTAAATATAAAACGACACATTTCTTAAAACCTGTTTCACAGTAACATAAGAAACATATTTACAATGGACAAAATATTCTGGAATGACCAAGGAATGCCCAAAAGTCTAATTCAGCAAATAACAATTTCTCAAAATTCTTAGGTTTGGTAAAAACAATATATTATCTCTACACAGCTCTAATTGATATAAAATCAGTGGAGTAACCCTTTTAAAAGGTGCAAAGTATCAGAATAAACCAAGATGTAGAATGAACATTGTATTGAAATCAGTTCTTGTTCATTCTATTACCAACTCCGTTTAAACAACTTAAGAGGAACATGACAAATCTTAGGTTTGCCAAAAATATAAATAAAATAAAATTAATAAACATAAAACTTTTCAGGAGGAACAGTGCGGTTTTCGTCCAGGCCGTGGAACACTGGACCAGCTTTATACCCTCTACATGGTGCTGGAGGGTTCATGGGAGTTTGCCCAACCAATCCACTTGTGGTTTGTGGATTTGGAGAAGGCATTCGACTGTGTCCCGGAGGAGGGTGCTCCGGGAGTATGGGGTCCTTTGCTAAGGGTTGTCCGGTCCCTGTACGACTGAAGCAGGAGCTTGGTTCGCATTGCCGGCATTAAGTAAGACGTCTTCTCGGTGCATGTTGGACTCCGGCAAGACTGCCCTTTGTTGCCGGTTCTGTTTATCATTTTTATGGACAGAATTTCTAGGCGCAGCTAGGGGCCGGAGGGTGTCCGGTTTGGGGACCACATGATTTCGTCTCTACTCTTTGCGGATGATGTTGTCGTGTTGGCCCCTTCAGACCAGGACCTTCAGCATGCACTGGGACAGTGTGCAGCCGAGTGTGAAGCGGCTGGGATGAGAATCAGCACCTCCAAATCCGAGGCCATGGTCCTCAGTCGGAAAAGGGTGGCTTGCCCACTTCAGGTTGGTGGAGAGTTCCTGCTTCAATTGGAGGAGTTTAAATATCTTGGGGTTTTGTTCACGAGGGAAGGATGGAACGGGAGATTGTTCCGGATGCCTCCTGGACGCCTTCCCGGGAGGGACTATGTCTCCCGGCTGGCCTGGGAATGCCTTGGTGTCCCCCCGGAAGAGCTGGAGGAAGTGTCTAGGGAGAGGGAAGTCTGGGCATCTCTGCTTAGACTGCTGCCCCCGCGACCCAGCCCCGAATAAGCGGAAGAAGATGGATGGATGGAGTTTAATGAGTCATTTTTGTGCACATTCAGCAGAGTAACTTTTTTTGTTTGAGCAACAAAAAAAAAAAAAAAAAAAAACTCTACATCAACTCAAGAAGATCCTGCAGAAGTTGGCTGTGGGTGGTGACCAATTCATTTTCAAGGACAACCGAGACATTCACTGTAATGAAACTGAGACAGGGTTGTAATGAATTGGAGCCGTAGAGTTGTCATGGACAAATGGTAAGTAGGGCCACTGGAGCATCCTCAATCTGTACTTCGGAATCATCCAGCTAAAAAAGAAAAATCAGGAAGAACAACAGAATGTTAGCACATGATCATTATTATTAGGCCAATAATACATCAATCACTAACTAGTTCACCCAAAAGCAAAAATTCTGTCATTATTTACTCAACCTCATGTTGTGCTGAACCTGTAAGATCTTCGGAACGCAAATGAAGATCTTTTTGAAGAAATCTGAAAGATTTCTGTCCCTCCATTGACAACTATGCAATTACTTTGACGCTTCAAAAAGTTAATAAAGAGATTGCTATATTGTAGGGCTGGGAAAAAATTAATCGTGATTAATCGCATCCAAAATAAAAGTTTTGTTTACATAAAATATGTGTGTGTAGTGTGTATAATTATTTTGTATATATAAATACACACACATGCATGTATATATTTAAGAAAAATGTGTTATTCATATAAAAATATGTATATTTATATATAATATAAATGATGTATAAATATATATACAGTATATACATGCAAATATTTCTTAAATATATACATGCATATGTGTGTATTTATATATACAAAATAATTATACACACTACACACACATATATTATGTAAACAAAACTTTTATTTTGGATGCGATTAATTACGATTAATTTTTTCCCAGCCCTACTATATTGTTAAAATAATCCATATGAATCGAGCGGTTTAGTCCCAATTTTCTGAAGAGACTTGATCGCTTTATGTGATGAACATATTTAATTTAGGCTTTTATTCACATATTAACTTTCAAACTCAACCGGACCTGCTATAACAAACCTCTTGCGGAAGCTCAAACATGCTGCGAAACACGAGAATGTTTATATTAGGGATGGCCCGATACCATTTTTTTTCAAACCGATACGAGTACGAGTATTTACATTTGTGTACTTGCCGATACCGAGTACCGATACCGATATTTCTACCGCAAAAGTAATAGGCTCCCAGAAAAGAAGACGACTATTTTAGAACACAGGTTAGAAGACTGTTTTTATTTTCTTCTCTGCTTGTTTTAACAAGTCTAAAAATAAATAAAAATTAGTAAAATAATAAATGTATTAACACACAAACCACTGTTAATTTAACATAAAAGCAAGCAGGCTACTGCGTGCATGGTCTGGCATGACTGAATGCGCGCAAAGTGCGCTCCCTTAATAAATCCTAAAAGCTGACAGTTCA